TGGGGAGGGGGGGCGTTATAGGTTTCTTTGTTATGGGTTTAGGCTGAGGGTATAGGGGGGTGGTTGTGGTTTAGTGGTATGGCTGTAGTGTAGCTGTAGATGTATGAGTTGTGAGGTTGGGCGGGGGTGAAGTGAGGAAGGGGGGGGGGGTCGGGCTTGGATGATTTTACAGGTGGATGAAGGAAGGAGAGAGAGATGATTGAAAGTGAGAAGCGGGAGAGAGAGAGAGAGAGAGAGAGAGAGAGAGAGAGAGACAGAGACAGAGACAGACAGACAGAGAGAGAAGAGAGAAACAGAGAGAGATGAAGAAAGAGAGAGAGAGAGCAGACAGACAGACACGAGGTATGCTTCCTTTGGTTGCTTGGGGGGGGGGGATGCGTACGTATGTGCTGTGCATGTGTCTGCCTTGACTGCGCGTCCCGGTTGTGTTCGGGGCGGGAGGAGTTCAGTGCAGGTCGACGCATGAACATGTCCTTGTTCTTTTTTCTGTTTTTTTTTCACTATTCTTACCTCTCTCTATCTCTGTCTGTTTTTTTCTCTATCTATCTGTCTATCTGTTTGTTTATCTTTCTTTCTCTCTCTATCTATCTATCTGTTTGTTTATCTTTCTTTTCTCTCTATATCTATCTCTCTGTTTATCTCTCTCTCTCTCTCTCTTCTCTAGTTCACATTTTCCCTCACCCTTATTCCCTCCTTGCTCTCCTCACTCTCTCTCTCTGTCACACATACCATCTCTTTTTCTCTTATCTTCCTCTCCCTCTCTCTCCCTTTTACTCCTATTCCCCCTCTTTTTCCTCTCCTCCCTTCTTATCTCCCCACATATCCTCCCACTTCCCATCCTCGTTATTACCCTTTATCCAGCCTTTTCTCCATCCCCTCTTCCCATTTCATTTACTCCCCCATACCACCAACCCCCCCCCCCACCTATCCTTCTAGCTCCTCAGAAACGTCAATGATCATAAAACGAAATAGGCGACATGTCCGAAGCGGCAGCAGCAACAACAACAGAAATGACAGCTTCTTTCCACACCTGCGTTACCTGTGATACCTCTTGTTTACAGTTTACACCCTCAAGGTCGTACGTAGGTTACCGTAATCTCATTGGGTGAAAGAGGGGAAGAGAGAGAGAGAGAGAGAGAGAGAGGAGAGAAGAGAGAGAGAGAGAGAGAGAGAGAGAGAGAGAGAGAGAGAGAGAGAATACTGAAAAAATGTGGGAGACAAAGGAGGAAAATTAGAGGGATGATTGAAAGTGAGAAACGAGAGAGAGAAAGAGAGAGAGAAGACAGACCAAAAGTGACTGACAGAAAGGAAGAGAGGAAGTGGACAGAGTAGTCCTCAAAATAGTGATGATAATGATGTAAAATTATCAGGGAGCTTTTGATGCGAGAGAGAGTTCTCATCGTCACACTGAAGAGAATAATATTGATGTTACCGATAATGGTAATGGTAGCAATGGCATGGTAATGGAAATCAGATTGGTAAGGGTTTTGATATCAGCAGAAGGAATATGATAGACTAATAATAATTATAATGATTTATGGTGAATATAATGATGGTGAGAAGGATGAATGTTATATCTACTCATAACATGATAACAGTTATGAAAATTGTTTGTTTGTTTTAATTATAATAATATTCTACAACAACAGTGACAATATATATAATGATAATGATAATGACAATGATATTCATGATCATGATAATGACAGTGATATTCATGATGATGATAATGACAGGATATTAATGGTGATTACGATGACAATGATATTAATGATGATGATAGCGATGACGATAATTATGATAATAACTGTATTAACAACTAGAATGATATTTTTTTACCACAATAATAGCAATGATAGTAACTCTAATGAAACCATCCCCGCCCACAGAGAGACAAAGGAGGAGGCGGGCGTGGACCTGAGCGTGGGCGCCGTGGAGAAGGTGGGCGAGCTGGAGTTCACCTTCGAGGGGGAAGACATCCTCATGCACGTCATGGTCTACGCCTCCGGGAGTTACCAGGGGACGCCCGCGGAATCCGAAGGTGGGCGTGGTGTGTGTGTGTCTGTTTTTTTTTTTTTTTTTTTTTTTTTTTTTTTTTTTTTTTTTTTTTTCTTTGAGGGGAGGTATAATTTTCTCGATGGGGGGGGGGGGGGTTAAAATCATACTTTTTCAGGGGCATAAAAAAAAATTGGGAGGGGGAGGGTAAAAGTATATTTTTTCGGGGGCTTGAAGGTAAATTTTATTGGAGGGGGAGGATGAAAGTACATTTTTTTCAGGGGCTTAAAAGTTAATTTTATTGGGGGAGGGGGGGGGGTAAAAGTATATTTTTCAGGGGGGGGGGGTGGGGTATGAGATGGAAATGGGTTGGGGTATTGTGGGGGGAAGGTAGGAGAGGGGAAGGGTTGGGGATGGGGTGGAAGGGTAGGGGAGGGGTTATGGTCGGAGGTCTTCTTTTCCGTTACCTTTTTTATATTTTTTTCCTTTTTCTTTTCTTCGAATTTCTTTCTTGATTTCCTTTGTTGTTGTGTTCGTTAGGTTTTTTTAATTCTTTTTCTAATTTGATTTTCTTGCTTGTTTGTTTTAGTTTTTGTTTTTTTCTTGTTCAGTCTTTCTTTCTTTTTCTCAGATTTTCATTTTTTGTTTTCTCTCTCATCTTTTTCCTTTTTCACAAATTTTCCCCTTCTTTTTCTGTTTTCGCATTTGTTCTTTTACTTATTATTTCTTTTCGTTTCTTTCTTTTCTTTCAGAATGAGTCTGTATACACTTATGAAATTTTAAATAAAAAAATTATAATATTTAACTAACACCATTTAAACATTAACAAAAACAACAACATTCAGTTACGTAAGAAATAAAGTATTAAAAACAAAAGCAACATTTAAATATCACTGAGACTGACTAAATATTAACAAACATTTAACTTTTCCTATCTTTCGTTCGATTTCAGGAAATGTTTTTGTTTCTGTTCATATTTTTTCAGACGTATCTTGCAACAGGAAAAACAATTCATATTTTTCAAACTTTCCTTGCCACAACAATAACAAACAGCAGAGAAAGTGCTGGCGTTCTTGCCAAACTAAACATTTGGAGTAATTTTGTTTGAAGAAATGAGCTTTTGGGCATTGACACAGAATGCTGGTGCTAATTATTACCTGGCGTGTTTTGTATTGTGTAAATGTGTTTGTTCTTGTGTTCAATAAAGGTCATATATTGTACATTGCATGTGTGTGTTTGTGCTTGTGTTTGTATATATATTGTATATTGCGTGTGTGTTTGTGCTTGTGTGTATATAAAGGTCAAATATTGTATATTGCGTATGTGTGTGTGCCTGTGTGTATATAAAGATCATATATAGTATATTGTGTGTGTGTTTGTGCTTGTGTGTATATAAAAGTCATACATAGTATATTGCATGTGTGTTTGTGCTTGTGTGTATATAAAGGTCATATTGTATATTGCGTGTGTGAGTTTGTGTTTGTGTGTATATAAAGATCATATATTGTATATTGCATGTGTGTGTCCGTGTTTGTGTTTATATAAAGATCATATATTGTATATTGCGTGTGTGTGTTTGTGCCTGTGTGTATATAAAGATCATATATAGTATATTACATGTGTGTTTGTGCTTGTGTGTATATAAAGGTCATATATTGTATATTGCATGTGTGTGTCCGTGTTTGTGTGTATATAAAGATCATATATAGTATATTGCATGTGTGTTTGTGCTTGTGTGTATATAAAGTTCATATTGTATATTGCGTGTTTGAGTTTGTGCCTGTGTGTATATAAAGATCATATATAGTATATCGCATGTGTGTTTGTGCCTGTGTGTATATAAAGGTCATATAATGTATATTGCGTGTGCGTGTGTGTATTTTTATTATTATTCAGGCCTCCCTTTTCATAGAGGTAGGATTTATCGTGCGCCTTGGTCTGGAATAGCGAAATATATATATATATATATATATATATATATATATATATAATATATATATATATTTTTTTTTTTTTTTTTTTTTTTTTTTTTTTTTTTTTTTTTTTTTTTTTTTTTTTTTTTTTTTAGGCGCCTTGGTCTGGAATAGCGAAATATTTTGTTATGTTTGATGTTAAGGGAAATACACACAAATAAGCAAACTTGATACTGTCTTCCAAAGTTTTTTTTTTTAGTTTGTCATGAGTTTCTTAGTTCTTAGCGTCCTAGATAACATTTCTTAATTTACAATTATTCACCTGCAGTTCCTATTAAGTGATTTTTAAAACAAATGCGTGTAATGTTGATATTAAAGTAACTCAACATGCAGAATTTCTCAACTAAATTACTTGTCATTTCTTGTTACATGTTTGGTTCTGTATTGAAAAGATGTTTGATTAATGAACTGGTTTCTTTACTGGTTTATTTGTTGTTTTTTCTACAAAGCAAGTCCAGTTCTTGTTCGATTGATATAGAAGTGATTTTACATGCTTTTCAGTTGCACGCCATCGCACGCCTGGAATGCTCAGGCTGTGCGATTTACTGCACACCTGCAAAATTAAGGCCTGATTATTATATTGGATTACTTAGGTCTGCCTTATTTACAGTATTCAGGATGTATCCCCCTTAATCCCTACTCTCTCTCTCTCTCTCTCTCTCTCTCTCTCTCTCTCTCTCTCTCTCTCTCTCTCTCTCTCTCTCTCTCTCTCTCTCTCTCTCTCTCTCTCTCTCTCTCTCTCTCTCTCTCTCACCTTAACACTTCTAACCCCCTCCTCCTTCTCTCTCTCTCCTCTTCACCTTCATCTCACCGTTACCACCTTTCTCCCATTTATCACCCGTTTCCCCCTTCCCCCAGAGATGCGGCCCTCTTGGTTCCCCGTGTCCAGCCTCCCCTTCGCGCAGATGTGGCCCGACGACAGATTCTGGTTCCCGCTGCTTCTCCGCGGCGCAAAATTCCGCGGCGCCTTCCACTTCCGCGGCCACGACGAGATCCTGTCGCAGAAGCTGGAGGAGGTGGAGGGGTTTTGAG